AGGACCCACCTGTAGACTTCAACATTGTGGACTAGATCCTTGTCGAGATTGTACGTCGCCATTATTCCAAATGTCTGAAATTAGGCCTAAACAACAATTCATTACTTCCGGCTTTTCAACAGTTTTTCCACTGATGTCAGTCACTGGAATAAATTGTTATTAGATTGAAATCTTTTGGAAAAAAAATATCATCATCGTAATAATAACTATTTAGATTTCAGTTTTTTCTGTAAAATGACTAATTAATTTTTAGATTTAGGCATTCCATAGATTCCTTTATAATTGTGTAAGGACTTTTTTAAGCAAATATTTAAGCAGCTATAGAATAATGATTATTGTATTTGCATAGCATTTCATTTCACTAGAAGATAAATGCGCACAGTTTATTTACAAGGCGGTTTAGAGTGCCTAATTCAAGGTTGAATTATTTTTATTTGATACATTTACTGTTTATATTCATCCTTCACATAAATCCAGTAGACTTTAGAATTAACTTATAAAAATTATATTCTACTCATATGCATTTATATTAATAATATGTTCCACAGCATATAAGAAAATCATATCATTCATAGTTAATTATGCATCACATTAATAATCTATTTAGCATAATTTCATCTTCATCCGAATCTAATTAAATCTTTGTTTCCTTTGTCTGTAATTGTGAGTACATAATTTTCTGATCAGAGATTTAAAAAGCAGTTTGCTTATCCGTTTGAGAATAAATAACTTGTAGATTGGTTATCTATTAAATGAATTTAAATTGTTATTATTACTCAAAACATTTGAATTCATTAATACTAACACCAACTCAATTAACTTACAAATAATTTTTATGACAAAAACTTATTTTATCCATTTAATTGTTGAATAAGTAATACGATTCAACTGAATTCACTCTATATTTAATAAGATCATAGAAGTTGTCAGCTTTGTTTAAATGAATGGATGACATATAAGTGGTTTTAAAGAGATTTTGGGCATACATATAAATTGTTTAGAATCAATGAATATTGAATAGATGTTTGATATCAGTTTCGAGCACAAGAGAAATACTCACCTATTTCCCAGTATAAGATCATTCTATTTAGACGAATGAACTAAATAATTTGAAATTAAATCACAAATATCATAGCAACTTTACTCAGAGTAACATTATAAATGATACTGATAGTTAAACTTAAGTGTCACAATTTCATAAAACATCAAAAATCATAATTTAATAGTCGTTTGTTTTACCTGATACTAATTTTTCTATAAAGCGCTAACTAGGTTTAATGAAAAACAAATAAAAAAGCAATCAAAGAAGGATAAAAGTTTATAACTAAAACGTGAAGTTATTATTCCTTAAAAAAGATTAACAATGACAAAGAATTAAATTCAATCTAGAGTATTGAAGATGACTGATTCACTATGACTAGTTTAGTACATAAAAATGGAATATATGATTTACAGGAAAGAAGACGAGAATGGCAGAATGAATCGCCTCTCAAAGTAATTAGATGGAAATAGGTTGTTTGGTTGATTTTTGTAAATTAAGGTCCATTTCATTACATACTGATAATAAAGGAAGTATTACTGAAAGAAAAAAACAGAAAGAAATGAAAAGTTGCTGCGTTTCAGTCTAAGGAGCCATGATTAATGTTCGTCGTATAGGATCAGCACAACTAGCTTCAAATAAAATACAGTATCCAAAAGTAATTACCGTGAAGATGGACTTATCCAATTTCTAGTGGGAGTCCATAGTTTTCAAAATCAGTAAACTTATAAACGGGTAAATGACTTACTGACCACAATTATTAGGTTTTATTGAGTCAAATAAAAAAAACTTCATATCAAAAAGCTAAATAGCATCATGATAGTCAAAAGTAATTAAGATTCAAGGTCGTGGTGGTAAATTGATCTGTGGTCTTAAAGTGAGGAGAAATTACGTTCATATAAAATCTTAGAAATTTATCCAAAGCATGTTAATTCATAACAATAATATCTACAAAGAATCAACATAAACTTTACACACCAAATATAATTTTAAAGAATATTAATCATACAGATTTCTGGACGAGCTGGAATTCTCAACCTCAAGTAGAAATACCTTGGTGTGAAAATTTCAGCGTCTTTTTATTTCTCAAATAACTCTCCTACATATTTTTACATTGTCCAAGGATTTCTACTGAAATGATGGATTAAAGCAAAAGTAAAATTTCTTGATTTCAATTTCCTATGCAGTGTTGTAGTTCAGAACAATAGTGATCACTAAGAATTTGAATCTTCAGTAAGTTTTAAAGCTTCTAAAAACGTATAGTTTGTGAATGTTAAATAGCATGAACCCTAAAATACTCAACAATTGCCATTCATTGAAATGATATTTCCGCTTCATTAAATTGGTAGATTTATTTTAGAAACAAAATTTCCTAGTTGAGTACTACATAACTATGAATAGAAACTAAACATTGAGATTATGAGTATAAAGCAGCAATATAACATAAATTTCATGATTCAAATATGTCGTTTTTGATGTGTTATGATTTAATTATATTGTATCTATGAAAGTGCACACACGACGAATTGCTAAAAGTAATTTATTTGTTTGATTCTTCTTTTTTTTATGTCAATCAGTAAGAAAGAAAATTTCCTTTCATCTGTTATTTATTCTTGTTCGTACTTTATTTACTACTGAAATCAAACATTTATTAATAATAAATTACTTGATAAAACAGTTCACTTTTATTCTATTGAATCCATGTTATATTTTAATCGGAATATCGGAAATTAGATGAAATAATCTATTATTTAATTAAAAGAAACTATATCTATATCATGAAATAGTTAATTCTACAAAATAATTGACAATATGTCATGATTTATAACTATACTGATAATAATTAATTTTTCACATTTTCTTTTAAATATTCATGCTGTTACTTCTGGAAATATCTATTAATTTAAATGTATATAATAATTATTATTATTAGTAGTAGTAGTAGTAGCAGTAGTATCATGTTAATTCGTCAAAAAACATTTAGTTTTAAGTCTGAATAAGCTGATATATGAAAATAATGACAGCATAAACCATTAGAGATAGACAAGTATGTATTCATAAAAATATATTAAGATGAAATCATATTTAAATGCATACAATATATAAGAAATAAAACTACAATGGCACATATAAGTTCAAATAACAGTACATATCAGTTTGTTGCATCTGCCATATCATAAATTGATTGAAAATTCCCATTTCAGATTATCATTTTTGAAATAATAACTGACAGATTATGTAGAAAATCAATTGAAGTTAGCTTTCTATATAATTTGGTGTCCATAGTATGACAGCTGAAATAAATCTAAAGAAATGACTGTTTCATAAAATTAGAACATTCTTTTTTAGTTAAAACTTTGCCTGATACACTAATTAAAATGTTTTATTTCTAATTAATCAACCTATGTTTAATTAAATATCATAAGAACTTTTTCTAAAATAACCATCTACTTTTTATTCATTCAACTCAATTAGCTGAACATCATGAAAAAATCTTAATTCCTTTTTTGAGCAAAAAAAGATATAAATCAGTACTACTACTCGCTAAAAAAATCACGACCTATAAAAAAAATTTCTTTACTGCTATTGCTTCTCTTCCAAACTACTTTCATATGCCTATGATATGATAAAAAGCTTGTTTGTAATTTTACTTGTTGATACAATTTACTTAGATTTCTTCCGCTCACTTCATATTTGACACGAAACTCAACAGATTGCTTTAATCATCTTCCTATAAAATTGATTGCGTGATTTCTATTTATTTTATGTGGGTTTTTTTCGATGTGTTGATTAGAGAACACAGTTTTTCCAAATGAATATAAGTGAACAGCCAAATACCTTTTGCGGCTTACATCATAGTTAAATCCGTTCCTAGTGTTAAAGGAACAAGCACTAGCACTTTTAGTAATCTTGATATACGCCAGGTCTAAAGTTTTGTCGCACAGGTCCTGCACATGTCCATACACTAAAAACCCAAAACTAATATGTCTAGTTAGATTTGATTTCAATTGATCATTCATCGGCAATAAGTGTTAGGAATTGTTTCCTGTGTTAGATAATTCAGCAGCGGAGTTCAAATCATAGTTCTGTATTTCACTAATTGCTTCATTCAAAACTGAACATTTCGGTGATTCCACAAGAGCTATATCAATTGGGTCTGGCGACGTTTCTCGAGATTCGTTGCCACGAAAGTCTGACATTCTCATTTCCTATTGTAGTAATATATTCTTTCCTGATTAACCTTTATTATTGCGACTGACCGACTTTTTACGTATGGAACCACAGAGAGAATGTGCCTGTTGATTGTTAAATGACCTAAATGTCATGCTTAAATGGACTGTGGTGCACATACAGTCCTGCGGATCCAATATTTCGATATTCCAAAATTGGTTCTGCATATGAATTGGTATCAGTGTTCCCTCACTTTTCATATTATTTCTTCGGAGCTATAATTAGAGCGCTTATGGTTACTCCAGGTCCCAACAACTAGTAAAGGACGAGGACTGGGCTTAACAACCACAAATAATTACAAAAACGCTAACCAGAAAATGTTCCAAAGGTTCTCGGAGTAAAATAGCTATCATTATTTCAGCAGATCAACAATCATTAAAATAATCCAGAGTACTGAATTACTTTGAAAGTTGGTTGTAGGTCGTCAACACGAAATTTTAACGTCTCGAACTATATAGCACCATAATTTTTAACCGACATCTACTCTATAGTGCATTCGATTTCGAATCACTCAGCTTCACATTGTCAGTTACCGGCATCTCACATTTGAAATGAACTGTACATAATTTGTTTACTTCCGAATTCTTACCCATTATGTCAGAGATGATTTAGCTTAACTGAAATCCAATGTTTACTCGCTTCGTTTTTTTCAACTTGGCAACAAGAAATCACTACAATCCCCACGATAAAAAGTAAAAACTCAAAAAACCGGTACAAACAAAGATTTATTGACTTCAAAACACAATGACCGTAGTCGATTGATTTACACATCCATTTGATTATAAAAATAAGTATCAAAGTCATAACAAAATTGTGTGCTATATGTCATCCTGAACACAGTTCACATCAACTTAACATAAAGGATAAATCTGGAATATACATTATACTGAAAAAAATCCGTTATCATAAGTAAAATTACGCTGAGCATCCATCATATGGAATGAAAAAAAATCGCGAGTTAAGAGAAAGATTTTACATTTATCTCATTACATCAAACCTTGTTTTCAGATTACTCACTGACTTATTTAACTAATATCGCTCTAAACAACCTAATAAGTGGAAAGTACACCTGTTATGTATAAAAACGACCATATTGTTTCTGATGTAATAATTGTCTTGAATGAATGACGCATATATTCGTGATTTTTTTAGATCGTTTAAAATGCCTCAACTTGATTTTAATCAGTGAAGTGTTAGGTTAAATGAAAATATCCCACTAAAATACAGAGGTAACTAAGTAATTAATTTCTTCCTGAGATCATAAAACGCATAGAAAGTATTGAAATACCATACAGTCGTGAGAAGACTGTAGCAGAATGATAACATATGAGCAATCAGGTAAAACGAACTTGACCAACTACTAACACCTGCACTCCCCAATAAACACCATAATACCATATATTAGTATATATATGGTTGAGGAATCACTGATAATCAGAAACTAATTTTCTGATAAGCCCACCACCCATTCGTTTGCTTAGTCTAGGAAATGCTCTGAAGCAAAGAAGCCCGTACTATTTACGACAATTCGAATTATGGCTCTAGTGTAAGCGGTTTTACTTAGAAAATTTATGCTACTTAAAATAAGTCAGTAGTGTAAGGTAGAGGAAGAATACGTACGTAAGCACGTTAAAACAAAACTACTCAGGATTCCACTCGATGTATAAGGAAACATGCTGTGCGCGACTAACAAGTAGATGTCTTGAATAGATATAACCCATTAACTTAGATGTAGAACACTTACGGTTAACACCACACCTGTTGATGTAGTTAACGGTAAGAAAAAAGTAAAGCATGACACAACAAGGAGTATATTTTTCAAATCAGCACAATAATTTAGACGCAATTTGAGACGACCTCTGTACACCTGAAAAAGGAGGAAAAAATACAATTAGACAACCAAAATGACAGTATACATATTTGACAAATTCAGGATATGTATATTCATTAAGAAGACTAGTAATATATTTTATTTTTAAAAAATTATTTACATGGAATATAAGAGTCAACATATGGATATTTATATATACAAAGATATGGGGTATCAATTAGTCTATTATATACAAGTGGTACGATCTGGAACCAGAAACGTTTTAGATAAAAGCTATTTACATTGAAATCAAACAAGTACATACAAGACTATCCATGTCGTTTATCAGTATCTGTTTACAACATGTGGAACAGCTGTTATATACATAAATATGAACACTGGCTTTACAATGCCATATTAAATAAACTGTTTTTCGTCTTAATAATATACAGAAACTATACACACTTTATAGGAACAGGAGAAATTGGAAATGTACATTGAATGAAGTTGTCCGGGAAAATATCTACATAATTATCAAGAGAGAAGTTAGCAATATTAATCAAATTGGATATACACTCATCCAATAGTTAACCGATGATCATTCTATGTTAAAGAGATGTCAATACATGCAACCAAAACATAATCAGTAATAAGTGATATATACAAAACAGTACAGCAAAATGGAATAACAAGATTACAATGTACAAAATGATAATTACAAATACACTCAAAACTATGCACCAATGGTAACCGGATCACTGAGTAAGTGGACAAGCTAAAAAGATTGAATAAACATATATTATAGGATTTCACTTGCCTGTAACACTCCTGAGCTCCAATTCTACCAGTACAACGAAAATAGTGAACATAAAAGCTAGCAGCAATGAACTGAGTCAACAGTTATTGAAATGTGACCAAACTATACAACCAGATGATTGGGGAGAACAAATGACGTATTGAAAAGTTAATTAGAAAACATAAGTACTGCTAAACTGGTCACCAAATGAGACGAGTATACAGCTAGGATTAATGTCTGTATCTACTGTCTCGATATCGGTCTCCACTACTCCCAAGACTTCCAGCACATGTTTGGCCGGAGCCGTCTACTGACTGGATTCCAGACAAACCAGATCCACTAGAAAGAGGTACACTGGATCCAATGCCATAGTAGGTGTTGCCACTCCCAGACCCTCTTTCGCGCGAATGTCTGCGGCGGTCGTGACGATCATGTCGATCGTGCCGGTCTCGAGATCGAGACCTATGATTTCTGTCTCTGTGGCGGCGAGAAGTGTTATTGTTACTACCACTGATAGAACTATTGTAATTTCCTTCACCATCACTGCCACTGTCACTATACGAACGGCGACGTCTTCGACTACTGCTCCTGTAAAAAAATTAGGAAATACAGTCATAATCATTTCAGAATGAAGATTTGGTTATTTTAACCTGTTTGAATGGTTACGTCAGAACACAGTTACACCTCAAAGTATTGAAACGGACACAAATATAAAACTATAACAACAACCAACAATGTTTAGAAATTGAAAACACTGACTAAGACAAAAAAAAGATAAGTGAAATTCCCTTGATGAATCCAAATGTCATGCCGTAAAGAACCATGATACTAAGGTTGAACTTGTTTAGGGAATAATCTGACAACCACGAAAAATGTCAAAATAATCGAGGATCCGGAATGAAGAAATAGAGAGTGGCTCAGAAAATATACGGTAAGTGTGGTCGCACCAGAATAAATCAATCTAGCAACTTCATAAATTATGAGATAGGACTTCATGATAATCCACGACTGTTAACAAATGAGAGCACTAATAGTTTTTCAAATCGTATTTGGAATAATTCTCTAGTGAAAAGAAAATGAACTAAATCATAGGAAGAAAAATGTATATACAGACATTCAGAACCTAATTGCTACAAACGAGTGATATAAGATTAAGGCACTGATTAACGGTTATGAAAATGGCTTTAATCAATGAGTTTAGACATCAAATGACATGGCTTGAAAGAAGTCTCATTACAACAAATGACTTAACTCATTAGTCTCAAAGTTAATTTTGGTACTTCTGTCTGATGAACAGATAATAATAGCTATCTGTAGTAACGAAATTCCCTCAGGCGGTTATTACTAAAAGACCATTCTAAACATAAAGAATAGAATCATTTGGTCTAAAAATCGAAATATGGCGCATACGCATACATTATTGAACTGATAGCATATCATGCTGCAAACAAATTTGTATAAATTTAGAGATATGAAACTAGGGAGGGACGACCAAATTAGAACATGACAGAAGACAATAGAATTATTGACCGTTGGTTTGGACTACGTTAGTACATCCAGATTAAGTGTCTAGGATATGCCTGTTCTTCCTGATCAATGATTGCAGCACAGTTTGGAGTCGATTCCAACGATGCACATGCATTCTGATTTTAAAGTCTAATTGACTGAATGTTTTCGAATCACTTCACGCCTTTTATAGTATGAATCATATTTTTACATCATTCTGCATCTGATGTCCAACAACCTTTATTAATGAACGTTTTTACGACATCAAATTCGTAATTTTACCCTATTGTGTTATGGTGTCGAAATTAAAATGTATATGTGCCAGGTCATAGCTATGAAAAAGTTTTTTAAGGTTCAGTATGTCTAAGTTGCTGAAACCCGACGACACATACCGTCAAACTATTCTTCGTCTTTCGTAGAACTACAGAGTAAGTAATTCCGAAATCTGCCAAAAAACATTTATTGGTGTAAACCATTTAGCAAGGTTATGAATATTCATCGGCTGAAGCGATTGAGATATACGACGCATCAGAAGCATCGCATTAACAATCTACTACAACAAATTGTTTTAAACTACTACAATAAATCAAATCGACGATTAAGTTGCGACTAAAATGAGCTCAAAAACACTCCATTTAAATTTGTAAAAATGCGAAATTAGAAGTAAGGGTTTGGTAGTTCGTGGGTGCATTTCTAGACAACTCTGCATCTGCACCAAAACATGTATGTGACATGATTACTAACCTGTAAAACTCAAATGTTAAAAGTTTTACTTCATTACTAATACTAATAACACATTGGTTATCAGCAAAACTGGAATGATGGTCACCAGAAAATAAACTGAAATTCATTAGGGAACGAACTTTGGAAAATCATATTTCTCCCTATATATATGCAACACACTTAATTCACTAAGAGATGTTCAATGAATTCTCATTAAAGTTCGAAATTTGAAAAATTTGCGTTTAGAATAGTGTACACAAAAAAGGGAACATATACAGTATACATTCCAATAAGACCATAAACATCCACTTGATTGCATTTGTTAAATCTAACAAAAACGTCACTTTTCCAATAATCTTTGTTAAACACATTTTAAAAATCAGTGAATCAACAAGAAATAAACAGATCTTACTTAGCACCATAAGACTTCGATTCAATACCATGTAAAGTGTCTTGAAGAGAATTGATCAGAATTCGGCATCGGTCATCATTAGCTATTTTTGACTGCTTGATAAGAGATATTGCAGTTACTAATGTTTCAATAGCACTTGCATAATCCCCACCGGCAGCATCCTGCACGGCTCTATTAATAGCGCTTGAGGATACCGTCTTGTTTCTTTGTAGAATATCTTCGAACTCCGATTCAGAGAGCTTTCCTGCAACAGCTGCAAAAAAAAGAAATTATGTTATTATCTACTAAATAGTACGGAGAAAAACAAATAATTATTCTTAAGACGTAATACAGATTATTGAAACACTCGGAGAGGACATCGATTGATGAGGCCCGAAACAAGTTGATCAGTTGGATAAATTTATTGTACATCATACTAGCTTAAACTTCACTGGTACATTGTGATGGAAGCCAATGGTATGAAATAAAGTTTCGATCAATCGAACAGGTAAAGATTAGGGTCTAAAATGAGCGGGAAGATAGTGCTGATTTTATGATCAAAAGCTATAGTTAATTACTAATCGAATCATTCTTGCAGCGTGATAAACTGACAAGACGTTATGCAGAACAAGCGCTGAAACTGATTCAGTTTCTTTGCATTCATATGTTTAAAACGCTGTTTGGGCGACGGACGATTATGAAAATATTTCAAACTGATCTACCAGTAATTGTGAAAAAAATGATTTATTTTCTTTCAAATAAAGCGAGACGGTAGCTAACCAAGATTAGTCAAGTGGGATTGAATGCAGCTGAGATGCTATCTATTTTAACGATAATGCTGAACCGGTCAGTAGCTGGAGATTAGTTGAACCGTTCACCGAATTGTATAATTAAACCAAGCTGCAGTCTAGTGTAACAAGTCGCTATTATCTTCTTCATTCTTTTGTTGCTAATTACAACTCTTGTACCTTTGCTGGTCAATAATAAGGTCTCTATGACTCCAAATAGTGTTCAAGTGTATGGGCGACGAATTACTAAGCCTTTGAAATCGATGTGTCCTTTCTAACATTTCGCTATAGGTTCCCTAAAATAGATACCGCTAATGTTTTTACAGACGACTGAAGTTACCCCAGAATGAACAACTCCAACTCCAAATAATTTTCATTCTTGATATTTTTCTATTAATCTGCCTTATCCTTGTCGAAGAGTTTGTGCAATGAAACCCATTAACCTCTGGAAATTCTGCATGTTGTTAGGAGGTAATCGTCAACTGTAATGATGCATAACTTAAAACAAATATATTATGTTAGTTACTTAATACTTATACTTAGTTTCAAGTGTTAGGAACTGTACGTTTTCTGAAGATGGAATCTTAAACATGTAATTATATTTCAAAGTACATGAGAACATCACTTCCAAATGCAAAATATTTCAACGACTAACAGAAGCCCGCGTCTATAACCCCTTTCCGTTGAGGGCTGTTAAAAGTAATCGAAAAGTTCATGTATCTGAGTACTTTTGCGCGCTGAGAGTGACATGACAAATGAAATAAACCCACATTAAGTGGAAATTAGAGTGATCTTATGCTGATTCAGGCCATCTTTAGCCTGTCAGCCTGACCGTAAAATATCAGGTTTACAATGAATTGACGAGAGCAGTTTCGTCTTATGGCTATAGAAACAGATCTGAGTCGAGGACGTTCAGTCACAATATCATATTAGTAATGCTGTGGTTCGATGACGTGCTTTTGGACACGTGTAACAGCTCAGTAGGTGCTAACACACTGAAACACTGGATTTAGGTGGTTGGATATGTTTTACGAATGTCACCATGGCGAATTTCATATTACTGGATGGAGAAAGCAAAAGTGATCCAGTCCACGATATGGCTTATTGGTACAGATGAGCTGTGCAGGACTAAGATTCCGTGATCCACCACCACCCCACAGTTCAAGTTCTAAAGAAAATATGACTTAATGGCTTAAGATATAGCTCAGAATAGAGATTTAAGATGGCCATAGTTTCCTACCAATTTCTTCATAAAAGTGAGATCAGTTCCACTGATGGTCCTTGGTTATATTTTTTAACTGAGCTGTATCCTTCCCTAAATACAATCCTTGTTAATTTACCTATTGCCCTTTCCTTTTGTTTACAATACTATTACGCTTTGTATATTGCGCTATTTCGTGTCTAACCAAAATTAATGAGCTTTCAGAAAAATTAAGTAGATTAACTGGTTAAACTTATGTAGGTAAACAAGATTTCAGCTTCTGATGTATTGGTTAAAAGTAGTGTTCTAAACCTTAAAACACCGTTTCAAGTTCAAAAAAAGAAACATTTCTATTGTACACTCGCAACTCTATACTTAGTCCGTTTTGTTTTCCATCAAGTGACATCACGGAAAAATATAGTTATGTTAAAACAAGCCCGACCATCAGGTCGGGCTTGCCAATCTTGTTGACCCAACCGGGCTATATTGGCTGGAACACATGTTCCTTTAGGTCCTACCATGCCAGGCAGGTTGATTGGAGAGCAGTGAGACTAATAGTAACAACTCAAGGTCTAAGGGCGAAGTCGTACTGTTCTGTAGAGGAGTGCGACAGCAGTAAGGTTTTCCGCTCGAACAACCAGCATCTGCAGCGATGCCGCCTTTTCAAAACGGAAGGAAGAGGTTAAAAAGGTTGACTCTAAAAATGTTTTACCACACCTCAGATCACAGACTTCTGTCTCCAGCTGTAAGGTCATTTGAAGAGCGGAGCTCACACATTAAAAACTAATAGAAAGGTCCTGAGTGATCAGCCTCAAGCAGCTGTCCTTTTCAGCTTCCTCAGGAAACACCCTTCTACGGTGTGGGCAGCCGGAAGATGACAACTGCTCTCGCAGCACACAAGACCAAGTTAGTCAGTCAAATCCTTCCTACACCTCCTAACACCCTTGTTTTACTCCTTTGTCTCCTCGTGCCGCTGATGCAAACATTTAGAGTCCATGAAACCTTATTCCTGGTCTTCTGAAACCCTGCTCTAAACTACATGTTGGCGTCTTTAATGTTTGCACCTTGTGCCAAATAGAACAAGCTTCCTTAGCGAGGACTTTAGGATCTTGCACCATCGATGTATGCTGCGTCTCCGAAAAAGCGCATACAAGATGCCAGTGGAATCATAAAGAACCGTCTCGATTTACGCTCCATGAATCTGGAAGCCCTACTGCTGCTTCCCGTGGCCATGCTGGTGTAGGTATAGTGCAACAGCTTACTATTCATTCATCGTACTTCAATGATTTGTCGTTTAAATTACCCGATAAATGTATCGACCACTTTTTAAATTTGTAATAATTCAATCATAGTATCGATTATTGTATATTTGATTGTGTGAATGCTTACTCGCTTATCACATGTCTAACTTATTATCGCCTGATTTTAAATACCTAGTCATTGCTTCAACGCCGGAGATTTGGCTCACCAGCCTTCTCCAATTCGCTTCGCTTTGTTTGTACGCTTTCCATTCTCACGTGTCTGCATAGACGAATGCACAAAATAAATCAATCAGCAACATTGTATTTGGCTTTTTACTACCGCCGTTGTACGAACTGGGTTTGCTTAAGTATGATATACGAAAACGGACAGGAATATTTATTTCATTGCACACTCGATCATTCGTCCACACAGGAGTCCAGTCGTGAGCCACTAAAATGGTGAGACCGACGTGATGGTTTGAGAGTACCCGACGATTACTAACGATCACCAACGTCGAACGTAACGCAACGGGAAGAGCTATGTCGACAGAGAAGCTCTCGAACTCAATGTATCAGACGAATGATTCAACATATCAGATTCGATGAACAATGCAGACAGCACAATCTCGTATCCGTAGTACGTAACGAAGCCAGTTCATATCACATCACTGTATTCTGAATCATTCATCACAGCAGTGGCACCATGACAGATACTTCCGACGTACTGATTAGCTGCTCGTTCCTCAAGAAGGTTGCAACCTGCCAAGTAAACAGGTGGTATGAAGACACGCGCATGCACAAGAACTATCAATCTAAGCAATCGAGCGAACCTTCTGCAGGCTGATAATAGCATGTTTTCGACTACCCCAACGCTGGCAACGGTTTGTAACGCTAACATAGACATGAGTTCAGAGTCAAACAATCATTGGTAGTAACTTACATTGTCAATAGGTAACGGATGTTCATTTATCGTATCTGTACGCAACAATGATTGTTCTCAATTTTTTCAACAAAGATCTCTACCAAACTTACATCATATTTCTACAGCCATTTGCTTGATCGGTGAGCCTTACTTTAATGTCTATACATTCATCAAAATTCATCCTATTTATTCACGGCTATGAAACTGAATGCTAAATTCAATAATCTCGAACACTTCACGATTACTGCAATTTCCACAATACAACAAATGAGAACAGAGTTTAGAGCTAGTCTCTCAAGGAAACACATAGGTTCGTCGTATATAGTTTTATTTGTACAGCATAAACAGATGTATGAATATGTTCTTCACAATAGCATTCAGCTCTATTAGACTAGATTCCAGCAGATAGTCGCTTACGTGCTGTCCGACTAAACAAGACAGTAAGAACACGTAAAGATAAAGGCACTCGCCGTTGCCTCTTCAGCGTCTTTGCCAACACTCCCACTGACAGCAGCGCGGACGAGGTAAAATATGGATTCCACAGAAAGCTATGAAAGCTCCATCGAAAAGTTAGGCACTCTGATGTAGTAATAGTGGCACTCATAAAAGTGATGCCCACACCGAGGCAGCTTAGAATAATATCAAGAAAGCTGTGAAAACAGCAGTGATATCTGCTACCATAAGGTTAGGGAGAAGCAGATCTCATTATCATCTACCCAAATGATAGGTGCTCAGAAACGTCCCATCTGGCTCCGAACATAACGAAAATCGGGGTAAGTTCAAGTGAAGGTTGATTAACAGTCTATGCAATGATCTTAAACAACGGTGCGTAGCCAACGCGAGAGATACAGGGGCAGCGCCGATATGTAGCAGTAGACAACAATTCAGAATCATCAAAGAGACCGGTATTAGGAATCCGACTGTGAGACTCGGAAAAGGATGGGACTATTATTCATTCTCAATCCGTGACATCGGATCGATGGGCAGAACACTACAGGCACCAGTTCAACTGGCCTTCAGTCACACTTTGGTTACCCACCATCCCCGGTCAACCTGAATGGCAACTTGGTCTGTTTCCCCACACTCTTACAGAAGTTGGAAAGGCTATAGGAAATCTGAAGCGAGGGAAAGCAGCAGGACCTGGTACGTTAGCCCGAGATTTTCAACGATAACGGTCGTTTTAGCAATTAGACTGACTGCGATCTTAGCTGGAACCTGGAAGTTGGGCGTAACCATATACAACTTCTCTCAATCACCCATTTTCCAAATTTATAAGAAAGGACTAAAGTCACCATATGACAATCATAGAGGAAGCAGTTCAACTAATATATTGTCTAAAATATTAACCTCGATAATACTTCGACGCCCAACCGAAGCTCATGAAGAGCAGACTCGAGAAAATTACAGTGGTTTCAGACAGACAGACAGACAGATAGATACAATGCAGAACTTCGTACGTGCATACATCGATTCAGGTTGCCATACCGCATTAGTAGAGACGCAACTATCAGTTCAAATCCCATAGTGGTAGCGATAGTAGAAGTATTAGCAGTAATGGAGAAGATTAGGGTTTGAAGATATGATTCAAGAAGTGGAGTGGTTTCAGACATGGACGCGGAAGTATAGACCAGAAATTCACACTTCCACAAGTCCTGGAACACAGACACACATTTCGGCGTCCGACAATTGTTGTATTCCTCGACCTTAAGACAGCATTCGACTTTGTCAATCGTGAGGTTCTGTGGTAGTGCCTGTCATTGAAAGGTGTATCAAGCAATTTTATTAACCTCATACAGGCTCCTACTCGAACATTAATGGTCGAGTCAGAGCTTACGACGAACTGTCATCAGAATCGATTACTTCAAGTGGTGTTCGTCAGGGCTGTGTCCACTCCCTTCATTCTTGTTTAATGCTTCACTTCTATCTGAAGTTTGTGCTGATGTTGTTCAGAATAGCAATGAAAGCTCCACAACCAAAACATCCAGCTCACAAAAACCAAACACCACCACCACAATCATCCACCTGAGCTACAAATCTTATCCACCATTCTTGTTTAACTTTGTCGTTAACGTGCTTTTAGATACAACAATTCTGTCATCTGATTTTTCAGAAGTTCAACTTTTACCAGGAAATTCGCTCGTCGACTTAGAATATGCCAACCACATAGCTCTATTTAGTGAAGACGCTGACAAAGTGCAGTCTTCTGACCACCTTAAGCAACAATACAAGCATAATCGGAATGCGATTCTCCCCTTCGAAATGCGAAGTGTCGCTTCAAGATTGGCTTGCATAGGCACCTGTATTAGTCATATAGAGTGAAGTAGTTGAGCGTGTTGATCACTTCATTTATCTTGAGAGTCTCATCAGTGATGATGGCCTGGTGTGCGACAAAATCTCAGCACGGATAAAAAAGACTCGACTGGCTTTCGCCAACTTGCATCACTTATGGCGTGAGAGATATCCGTCTACTAACCAAATGACAAGCCTACTGAACAGCAGTTCGTTCAACCCTACTATGTGGGTGTGAAACTTGGCCAGTTAGGATAGTGTGTTTGCAGGCTATCAGCATTCGACCATGGGTGTCTTTAAAGCATTGCTCGCATACCCTGTGACAATCGAGTAAGCAACGCTGTTGTAAGGATGAATCATCGCGCTATGTTTTGTGGTGCAGGGGTATACTGGAAGAAAGCTAGAGGCGGCCAAACCAAGACATGGCACAAGTCTATCAACTCACTGACAACTGAACTGAGTTATGCTGGTAGATGCAGACTACCTGATTGGGGTTGGAGAAACGATAGTAACCGTTGGTAGTTCTTCGAATGACGTGGCTCGAAACCGTTTGCAATGGCACAGGTGAATCCGTGTTTTAGCTCCTCTCGAATTGCCCAGGTTCTTGATATTGACAAGATGAGGTCAAATGAATGACTGCGCTTGGATCATGCATGCGCAATCTAGAGATTCTAGGGCTCCAGTTAAGGGAGCCTGATGTCCTATTTGGCACAAGGTACGGACATTAAAAGCTCCAACATGCAGTTCAAAGTGTAGTTTCAGGAAACCTGAAAAGGAGTCTGGATCAATGGTCTTAGTGTCTTAAGAGTGACTGCAGACCTTGACGGACAACTTTATAAAGCCGGTCACAAGTCTTTATGGGGAGTTTTTGATGTGCTAGCTGAGCAATTCAAAAGGTCTCACCAATAGAGAGGGAAATCCAAAAGGTGAGGTTAGATGTGGTATTTTTAAGGTCAACCTTTTCTGACCTATTTTTTGCATTGTGAGAACGCAGCATCACTGATGCTATCTATCTGAGGAAAACACATTATGTCACACCCCTCTACAATCGGAAATAAGACCTCACCCTTCGACCTTAAGCTAATGCTTTTGACCTTAAGAATCTAATAGACTTACTTGGCATGACAGGACATAAAGGAAAATGTGTTCTAGTTAATTTCATCTCATTAATTTAAGCGTAATTATTGGTACAGAGGGATACCAAAATATTTGCACGTCACACAAATCATTGAGTTTGTGCGTGGACTAGGATACAGACCGGGTGCACGAACCGAAGGTGGTTTTCTCAGGGGAGGCTCTCTGAGTTTGTGACCTACGGGTCTAATCCACAAGACGGTGGAGCAACAAAGAGATAGAGTCATATGGTAGCCGGTTACCAACATTAGTTTCAAGATCCCGGAGCCAATGTGCACCATTGGTTTGGAAGTAGGGTTTCCCAAGTGGATCCTACGAACCCACTGGCCCGGTGTAGACACCGAACATTCGCTTTTCATCTGCTCAACTCTGTAAACAACACCACAATCACGAGTAGGCAGTGAGCAGTGAAAGTAGTGACTACATATACGTGGCCAATAAACAAGGCCGACTTATTGTATTGCTAGAGACTGGTTCTTAATATTGGAAGAACACCACTAATATTTTACATATACAGAAAGAAAACCTACGATTTACATGAATCAAATTTTTATTTGACACACATGTTTAGAGTGCTGGTCTAATCCTAACTAAATAAACATGCTGAAGAGAATTTCCAAATCTTATTCTTGTTTTGGAACGTAAAATCAAACCTATATATTCTTCAAGGCATGATCTACCGTTAGAGACTAGAAAATGCCATTAACTCAGAACAAGTGACTATTTGATTCACATTGACCTATGAAAAGACGACTATTCGAAACGCGTTAACAGCAAATGTACACGCATGCATGAGAACATAATTCCGTTTTATGAAGTCAGGTGATTGTAGTTGATAGTTCCAACTTAGGACCAGTAACAAACTTCTTAGTTCCTTAAAAGAATCAAATGACTTGTTGACTTGAATCTAAGACATATGAGGGGTAGCCAAGTACATACTGTTAGGTAGTACAGGGACCAAATGAACTAGCATATGAAACAGTACAATTTAATCATTAGTTTCCAAGATGTTAAGCATGAATCAACGCTTGACTGAATTGTACTGAGCTGATAGTTCATATCACAAACTATTTTTATCACGACTTAATTAATCAAGACAGGAATGAACAATTCGGCGTACTAATTTTCTATTGACAGGTGAAATTAATAAGTGATCAGGAGGCGGCTTGATGATAGACGTATGATCTTTAGCCATCAAGTTGGAGTTTTGAACCCCGCTTGGGCAACAAAACAGTACCACCAGCCTACCTACTTGAAATGTGACTTAAAACTAAGTACACCAATCTTTGCCTAGTAATGCATTAACTACAATTACAATTATTTTGGGGGAAACTATATGAAATATCTCCGACAGCTTGACTACGACCGAAAGATTTCTCAGTGTTCTAGTAGCCTTCAAAGCACATGAATACTGACCATCGCTCTTCATATTTAAACTATACCACATACGTCCCTGTAACCGGCATTATCAAACCTCGCAATGAATGTACACATACATGGTTAGTTAGGTTAACACGCGTGAGAGGACGTAAAACGAAAGATTATACAGACTTATGGAACATCGCAGATTTTTACGTATACCAGGTGCTACGGGAAATGAGATGTAGGTCTTATGACACTCAAACTGCTTAGTACTCAAATTTAATATACCAAAATAAACCAGAAATAACGACTTACGAGGAGTATAAGTATGAATAACCGGCCTTCCGTAGTGATCAAACTGTGGACGTACGCTGGAGTCGTTGTTCTGAGTGGGCAACTGCATTACACCAGGTGGTAAGGAATTTGGTAACATAGGAGCATTTGCCGACACTTGTTGAGTTAAAAAATTTGGGTTGACATGAGCATTTGTTGCAAGTGATGTTGCGATTGTGCTAGGAAGAGTGAAGTTTGAGGGTAACAGACCTGTAGCATTTGCTGCTAAGTTTGCAGTCGAAAGTCCAGTCGGAGGCATAAGTACGCCAGTGGAGCCCGGAAAGTTCAGAGGTAATTGACTTAGACCTGAATTTCCGCTCAAGCTGGAGTGTGCATTGTGATTAGCAAGAGCTTGCTGAATGCTAGAGGACAAATTTGCTGTATTTCGAACGCTTGGGACAACCTGTCCCATCAAGGGGCTGTTATTGCGTACACTGAAGCCGAGTGATGCGGGCATAGTAGGCGTAGCCATTAATGGAGGTGGTAGGCGGTTCCCCAGAACACCGGTTGTGCCTGCTACAAGTTATAAAGAGATACAACGACCGACAGTTACCTCCAGATACCTTCATTGTTTGCATTTCCTCTGTACGCGGTCGGGCAGTAGCTTGATTATCGTTACCAGCTGCTTTCTCAAAAACGCTCAAGTTATGTTTTGTGTAACTTGTGACAACAGGATTTTGGCCATGGAGATCTATTTTTGGGAACTTTTCCATTGCCAAACGCATGGACTGTTCCGACCCAAAAACCATTACGCAAAACCTACGAGTTAAAGTGAATATGAAAAACGTACCCCTTAGATTGGCCGTTCTGACGGTTTTCATGAAACTTTATTTCAATAACATCGTTAATACCGACACCCGCTGCTGCTTCTAGCAAGTCCAAATCTGTTGTCCACTACAAATTTCACATATTGTTCGATTTACGAAAAACTTAGTTACCCAGGTTAAATTACCAACATAGACTGATACACGACGCCCTGAATGAGCTGAAGAGCCAAAAGAATGCTTGTTAGCCTTTAAAATATACAATATTGCACTTCAAAACCAAAAATTACCATAGAAGATGGAACACCTGAAGGATTTTCAGACTTAATTGGTGCTATAACATCGTCGTACAGTTCTGTGAGGTCAGTGCATTCCTAAAAGCAATGCCAAGGAAATCAAAATAATACTTGAACGAAGTCTTCATCAATATTATCATACAAGTCTATTTCAGTGTTGTCACCCGCCATCCTAGTGGCTGAAATTACGAATCCCCACTCTTCGTGAGAGATATAAACAAACGGCATTAGAAGAAAATCATGACTACAATTTTTTGTCTGGAAAGACATAAAGTCAGTTATTTTCAAAAACTGAAGATCCATCTTTAATTCTATGATGATGTACAGTCAGCAACTGATGAGTGGTTAGTTCAGAGTAATAACCATTGATTACTCAAGTTGCCTTACGTTTTTTTGGTTGAATTAGTCAACTTGTAAACAACACTGGCCGTATACCATCTTAAAGAACCAAGTCTGTCATGTCAGTTGGTTTTTCGGACTGTAGTCCACATGTGCTGATTGGTGAAATTTGTATTCATCTGTTTGTAGGCCTCTGACTACTACTTTGTAGGTCGAAATCACACTATTTCTAGAGTATAACTCCTGTTCCTTCGGTAATTCTGCTAACTTTAAATTGAAACCGTCTTCAACAACCATCGACTTTCTCCTTTCCAGCAGTTTAAGTAAATTCATCAACGCCAACTGAACCACACTTATGGTGCCACCACTGTAATATCATCACGATACTAAACACAAAACCGTCGATTACTTGTTTATGCTTTCTTTGTTCCGTCACTATTAATAATCTTTCCATCAATTATTTACCATCAATTTTACCATCAATACCGAATAATATGACAAATCCAGAATATCTAGATTTGCTTGAATCCGTCATTTCTGATTAGGTGCTCGCGTCTACTTTTGGATGATCTTTCAATTCATCTGTACCTAAAGGATTCTTAAGAGTCTCCTATCAACAGGCGGTACGAGTTAATCCACAGAGTATTTGATACTAATTTAAGAGCTTAATGGACGTGGAGAGGAGTATTGTAGAACCATTAAAATTTTGCCAAGTTATCTGACTGACTGAATAGTTTCTGTGTGAGACGAGAGATCATGAAAAGTTTAACTAATATGACCAAGATCAAGGATGACTAATGCATATTGATCTACTGCACTTCGTGGACAGGCCCAAGAAGTAGTGGTTTCACTCTTTATTTCTCCAATCTATCTTAAGACAAGCAACAGTTCTTATAGGATTGTATATATTCCGTATGGTTAATGAGGAAGGCGATTTACCTGGTTTTTGAATTTAAATAAGCCAGTTCGGATCTAAATCGCTAGGAATGTGTCAAAGTTCATACTTTATTGATACTATCGATGAGCTAGAATATTTAATCACGTTAAATTCTGTTGGTACATCAGCCACTGATCGACCTCGAGAAGGATTCTAGTTCCAGAAGACTGGTATGAGAATCAGTTCGGAGTGTGGACAACCACAATTTAGACGTATTTTAAAATTCTCTATACTGTATTCTGACTGTGATCTGTAGTGGAACGCTTCTACAAAGAAAATACGATTTTTGAAAAATAAACATTATTGTACTCGTTTTGTTTAACTGTACCAAAAACACTTCTATTTCTTGCGCGCAATGTTCTCTTCGCGTTGCTGCCATTTTCCTTTATTTGCTGTTCCCGATGTAATGACTACTGTCTTCTCCAATAAAATCTTGATACGTGGATTTATTTTTATAAACGCGACGGGGCCGTATGGAACATTTAGTGGTGATCATAGTCAGTCTGTTATCTTGACTCGCTCACTAAAGATCCATCGATTGATTTCAGGTATTCAACCATCTTAGTGCCGTTTTCCGATAAACTTGGTTTTCGTTGAAATTCACTTTGGTCCTCTGAGTACGCAGGGGATGGTACAGTCTTCTGTGATTAAATATACACATGATCAGATGATGTCTGAATTCCACCGAAGTTGTCGTTATCCACAAAAAATGATTCTTTGATTCTTTTTGGAGTAAATAAGTTTATTTAGGAGGAATGGTCGGACAATCCGCGAGTTTCGAACTGGCATCGTCTTCGGGAATGTTAATAACACACTTCACCGTAGTGAGTAAATAAAATCGTGAAAACCATCTGATTCTTTCGTATTTTACAAACTTATTAGGACGTTTAGTGACTCTTGTTCGTGAACTACACCAGGTGACCCACATAATGCACTTTGGTGTACCATATTAAGTAAAAATACATTGTCCAAAAAAATAATTCGAACCATTCTAGGTCGCCCTCGATGACTAGGTCCTAGCCTTCCACGATCTACCCAATGAAGAGAAAGTTATCAAGGAACACTATTGAAAAGGGTTCAAAGAAGCAACAACTTCATCATGCCATGAGGTTTTAGGCCAAGCCAAAGCACAGTCCGAATATACTGAAGTGAGCACGCAAATGGAGAGTGGCACCTTAGGTAATAGGCGCAAATACCTGGCAACGATAGCAGAAAAATCTGAAAGAGAGAAATGCATGAGACCACTACACGATACAACGAAGAAGCTCACTGTAAAATAGAGGAAATCAGAACCACCAGTGAAGAACAAGGAGGATAAAGCAACCACCGACATCAACGAACAACAAAACGGGCGAATAGAGCCTTTCGAAAAACTCTTGAGTAGATCAGCCTCACTAAACTCACCCGACATTGAAGCGGTTTATGCCGACAATCCACCAACAACTGAAGACATCAGCATAGCCATCAGAGAAATCGAAAAAGGCAATATTTCAGCTGATGCATTGAAAGTAGACAAAGAAATAATTACAAAGATACTCCATGCTCTCTCCAGAAAGAGTTGGGAGGAAGAATGAACAGATTATAAAGAAGGGCAGTCCACCAAGATACAAAAGAAAGGCTATCTTACCAATTGTGAGAACTGCAGAGGTGTCACTCTTTTCCCAATACTAGCAAAAGTCTTCAGGAAAACTGTTGTCAAGCCGAAAAAGAGGATTTCGTAGACGTTCAACTTCGAGGTCAGCAGGCTGGATTCCGTAAGGATCGGCCGCGTACCGACCGAATCGCGACACAACCGATCATTTTTGAACAGTCAATTTAGTGGAATTCACCACTCTACATCAACTTTCTTACTATGAGAAAGCATTCACTGGGGTGGACAGGATGGCATTACATAGGCTTCTTTCACACCATGGCGTGCCTGAGAAGATAATTGACATCACAGAATTCTTGCGGAGGATTACACTGGAAGATAAAGCATGCAGGGCATGAACATGTGGGAATTTTGGCAATAAATGACACAAGATTTAATCATACGCTCGCCGTTTTCAAGTGCAGACAGGGTGAAAATGTAAGTCACAATGTTTAGGAGTAATTCATGGACTATGAGAAATGAAAATCTGAACTGAGGTTTTAGGCCAAAGTTGTTCATTGTTAGTCAGTATTCCCCGTGAACTTACAACAAGGTGAATGCATTATAAGATGATATAAGTTGATATAACTATCCTTGTGTAAGTTCGTAGATGATTTTAATCCATGCACGAGTAAATCAGTTTCAAAGAAGAAATAAAGTCTCAGACAACTACTAATACAATTTTCATCATTAGGTTAGACAGTCTATTTTAGATAACTAACGTGCTTTTCAATTACTCATCTTATCTAAAGAAATGAAACCTTAAAAATCTAAAGGTAGTGTAGATGTTCTAGTAGAAGAACTTTGAACACGTCTATAAACCAATTAATTTCGGGTCCTAAAACCTTTATTTAAAAGAAGTAGACGGGATAGTTCAGATGAATTATTTGCATTTGCATGCGATTTCCTGTCATTGAAAGAATGTCGAGAATGTCGAATGCCGGATAATTGGGCGAAGTTATGGAGTAGCAAACGCAATCTGTGGAATGTGAGTTTCCTTAAGAAAACAGATTCCTAATGTGAATTTGTTTCCAAAATTTACGATCATCAAAAAATATCATAAAATATACTCATAGTCTATCGGTACTGATTCTACTTACAATAAAAGCAACAAGAATTGAGGATGTTGTATTGTAAATTTTACTGAGCTGCTGTTCCTTACTTCAATTAGCGATAACTTCGGTCGCGATATTCCGAATTCATTTGCATGGAAACAGAATGGGCATCAGAAACAATGAGTGAATTGTCAAGGGTAGGAATTTTCAGGAAGAATTTTCCATAGGAAGAGCATGTCAACCACTCATCCACAAGCAAATATGCTTAGATGATTCTTTCACAAAATCCAGATTCATGAGAAATGTTTTATTCAGCGAAACTACGTACTATCATTTACAGCAAGAAATTCATTCAAAGGAGTGTCGAAGACAGACTGTCACTTTAAGACACCTCATTGTATATATGTCAGTTAAATTGATCTTGTGGAGCAAGTTACATTAACGACACAAAGCGTACACATGGTAGAAAAAGATTCGAGCATCATCGTTCATGCCTATTTAAAGGATAATCTAAATCGATCCCATAGAAAGAGTTTACACTTTAGATACGTAGGGGCTTCGTGCGGTGTGGGGGCTGGTCGTCTAACGTGCGATTGTAGTGCAGAAGCGTTGGCGAACAGGAAGCGACCGATGGAGCTCGAAAGTCTTCTACGTTGAACTGTACCGGCAGTAACGTGCCAAGTTTGCTGCTCGATTTGGCGTGCCACTCCAGCATTACCCGTATCCAGAGTCTGAAGATTGGGTTCATAGGGGTTCGTTCCAGAAAAAGCTGCAGACATAGGGCGATCTCGTGGTATCGAAAGAATACCGAGATCATGCCAAAGGATATGGCAAAACTACCACGGGGAGAGTAACCAACATGGCAAGAAGGTAACAGCAAAGTGTGCATTCAGAGTACTAATAAACAAGCAGTCCAGTAAAACAATCACAGGTGCGATTGGTCATAACGACAAATGTTTCTACCCAATAAATCTGGGAGTCACTACAGTTCAATGCTTGAAAACTTTAGTTACTTTACCGTGATTAATCTGGATGCGTGAACTCACTGACTCCATGCTTCCATATAATTAGCTCTGCACACACTTAAGTTACAGTGAACTCAGGACTGCGTTTTATCTGTTTATTTTTACCCTCTGAAGTAGCATTATGTTCTTTTGGTTGAATCCATATCTCTTTAGTTTATCTTCTAATAGACAGGTTACTCTCTGTGTCGATCGACACAGTTCACCTGTAAATTGACTAAT